AGTTTATTCCTCTTCAGCTGTTGCTGTAAGCTGTATCCAACAAGTCATGTACTTCATAATTATGAACCAGTTGCTGTGTGCCTCCTGCAAGCAAATGAAAAGTACCTGGAGAAAGAAAGATGGCCAAATAGCAAGTCTTGGCAAGCCAAAAGATTAACTTTAGCAAATCTGTTGGACAGGGACCATTGAACCACCTTCCCAGATTTCTGCTCCACCCTTAATACCATTTTTAATGTGTTTGTCTGCATGGGTGTAGGGGGAATTCTGACTACATGTCAGCAGTTCAAAAATAGATTCTAGCTACAAGTAAACAATTATTTGTAATAAATAGTAACTCATTAGGTACAAAACCTGGTCTCAATCCAGGTCTAAAAGCCAGTTAAATTGGGAATCTTACATACTTTTATTAAACCTTTAACTTTCGTTACAACTCCAGGAAGAGTAGGGTTCGAATTCCAATATGCTACCTCAGTGAGGTTTATTAATACAGCTGTCACTGCATCAGTGCAAACGGAGCGAATATTCAGAGTGCTAGATGGACTGCCAATCAAGCAGGGCTTCTGCATCCTGGATAGTGTTGAGGTTCGAGTGTTGTTTGGCATGGAGAGTATTCTGTCACACTCCTGACTTGTGCCTTGTAGATGGTGGAAAGGAGACAGGTGGGGAGTTACTCTCCACAGAATTCCTAACCTCTGACCCACTTTTGTAGCCACAGAATGTATAGGGCCAATCCAATTTAGTTTCTGATAATAGTAACCCCCAGGATGTTGATAGTGAGGATTCATCATTGTTAATACAATTGAATGTCATGGAGAGATGGTTACTTTCTCTCTTGTTTAAGATGGTCATTGCCCGGTACTTAAGCAGCAAAAACCATAGACCAACCCAACCCTGGATGTTGTCCAGTATCTGAAGAATCACACTGCTGAAGAACAACCATTGTCGAACATTCCTACTTCTGACCGTATAATGGAAGGAATGTTATTGATAAAGCAGCTGTAAATGGTTGGGCCTAGGACACCAGACTGCACAGCTCCTGCAGATATGTCCTGGGACTAAAATGTTTGTCCTCTAATAAGAACTAACATTTTCTTTAGCACTAGGTACGAGTCCAACCAGTGGAGAGGCCCACCAATGCACCCGTCGCCCAAAACCAAGCCGATTCACACTGACTCCTGTTAGGGCTCTCGGATGCCACATTTAGTCAAATGCTGCCTTGATGTCAAGAGCAGTCACTCTCATCTCAATCTCAACTTCCATATTTAAACCAAGGTTGTAGTGAGGTCAGCCTCTTTGGGAAAGAGGCTTTTTCTGAATTTCCTATTGAATTTCTTGATGAAAATGACATATTAATCACCAAAAGGGGAAATATTCTCTTTCTATCCACTCTTTCAAAAGCTTTCATAACTTATAAGACTCTCTAGGTCACCCTTCAACATTCTTTTTCAAAGGGGTAAAAATCCGGCCTCTATCTCTTCGTGCTATGTGTATCCATGAATTTCTGGTCTCATCCTTGTAATCGTTCACTGCAGCCTCACTAATATCCCTGTATCCTTTTAGATAAGGTGAGCAGAACTGCACTCATCAGTATAGTCCAATCAAGGTTCAATACAAGTTTAGCTTAACTTCCATGTTTTCAATTCTATCCTTCTAAAAACAAAGGCTACTGTTTGTTTACTTCCTCCTGCACCATAACAATTCTGTGGTGGAACTTTTAGTCATTGATGTATTTGTTCTTCAAGATCCCTTTATTCCTCTACCCCACCCCAGAGTCACATCTTCAAAGTAATTGAGTTTTCTGAAGAAGTAATGAAGAGGATTGAAGAAGGCAGAGCGGTGGACGTGATCTATATGGACTTCAGTAAGGTGTTCAACAAGGTTCCTCATGGTAGACTCGTTAGCTAGATTAGATCACATGGAATACAGGGAGAACTAGCTACTTGGATACAGAACTGGCTCAAAAGGTAGAAGACAGTGGGTGGTGGTGGAGGGTTGCTTTTCAGACTGGAAGCCTGTGACCAGCAGTGTGCCACGAGGATCAGTGCTGAGTTACTGCTTTTTGTAACTTATATAAATGATTTGGATGTGAACATAGGAGGTATGCTTAACAAGTTTGCAGATGACACCAAAATTGGTGGTGTAGCGGACAGTGAAGGTTACCTCTAAGTACAATGGGACCTTGATAAGATGGCAGGTGGGCTGAGGAGTGGCAGATGGAGTTTAATTTAGATAAATGCGAGGTGCTGTATTTTTGAAAGGCAAATCAAGGCAGGACTTACATACTTAATGGTAAGGTTCTGGGGAGTGTTTCTGAACAAGGAGACCTTGTAGTGCAGGTTCAAAGTTCCTTGAAAGTAGAGTCACAGGTAGACAGGATAGTGAAGGCAGCGTTTGGTATGCTTGCCTTTACTGGTCAGTGCATTGAGTTTAGGAGTTGGGAGGTCATGTTGCAGCTGTACAGGACATTCGTTAGGCCACTTTTGGAATATTGCATTCAATTCTGGTCTCCCTGTTATAGGAAGGGTGTTGCGAAATGTGAAAGGGTTCAGAAAAGATTTACAAAAGATGTTGCCAGAATTGGAAAGTTTGAGCTATAGGGAGAGGCTGAATAGGCTGGGGCTATGTTCCCCTAGAGTGCTGGAGGCTGAGGGTGACCTTCTAGAAGTTTATAAAATCATGGGGGGCATAGACAGGGTGAATAGCCAAGGTCAAAACTAGAGGGCATAGGTATAAGGTGAGAGGAGAAAGATTTAAAAAGGGACCTGAAGGGCAACTTTTTCCATGCAGTGGGTGGTGCATGTATAGAATGAACTGCCAATAGAAGTGGTGGAGGCTGGTACAATTACAACATTTAAAAAGCATCTGGATGGGTGTATGAACAGGCAAGGTTTAAAGGACTTTGGGCCAAATGCTGGCAAATGGGACTAGATTAATTTAGTGTATCTGGTCAGCATGGACGAATTGGACAGAACAATCTGTTTCCATGCTGTACAGCTCTATGACTCTATAATGTGACACCCCTATTCATTCTATCAAAATGGTTCCCTCTCATTTGCGTTGAGCATCATTTGCAAATTATTTGTCTATTTTGTAAGTTTAATTAATGCCCTTCCCTTGTAATTTGTTGCAGTGTTTCTCAGTATTGACTATCCCCTCCTAGTTTAGCATCATCTGCGAATGTAGAGCAGTGTTCATGGTTCCAAAGTCCAAATTGTTCAGGTAAATTGTGAATTTAGTTAACACCATTCACAACAGTACTTTCCAATTGTAGACACTGCAGCTAATTTCAGTGAGATCAGTTAACCTGTATGTTTACAGAGGGATTAATGTCAGTCCAGAACACCAAGGGCAAACACCCTGTTCCTCCTCAGAGTCACATGATCTGTGAGGTTGATCAGAGCTGTAGACGTAATGGTGCTGTTGTGCCAGAGTTAAGTTGCACAGGCCATTCCCTAAACTGCACCATGTTCGTGTTTATGCCCCCACACAATCTTCTTTCCACCCTAACAATGTATTTTTTTTCCTCTCCCTTTCTTGTGCCTAGTTAGCTTTCCCTTAAATGAATCTTGGCTGCTGACAGTAGAGCCCAGCATGATTATCTGGCTTGAAAAGAGAAAGTGAGTTTGAGGTGCTTAGGAAAGGCTCATTCTGCAGAGATCACAAGGCTCTGGCTAGGCACAGTCCTTACATGACAGAATATAGTTCAAACGAAAGTTATTTATTTCCATTTTGTCACACATTACAGTGAAGATTAAGCAGCTCATCTGTTATCTCTTTGTCACTGATTGAGGGCACCTTTGCCTGCAGTTGTTCGAAGATATCATGAATCTCATTGTTGCTTCATACAGTCACTGCTCTTCACTGCCTCTCCTGGACTCTGGCACCCTCTGCAGCTGCTGCCTGGAAATGCTACAAATCAGGCCACAGCATTACAACTCTCGACAGCTCAGGCAGTTGCAGATATTGATTTTTCTGAACACCAGTCTGTAAAACCACATTTTCATACCGTTCCCTTGTGTCACAATATTCTTAAAGTGAAGATTAATTAATGATCTAAATGGCCTCTTTCTGCACTGTAGGGATTCTATGAATAGGAAATTATAAAAACAGCCTCACACAGTTTTAAACTCTGCACTGATGAAATTGAAGTCTGCACCAGTGATGACTGAACAAAACCAGGCAAAAGTGAAAAATGGAGAGAGAAAACAAAACTACCAGATGGCCCTACATTTTAAAAAATCTCAGAAGAGAACAGGTGTGTGCACATTCATGCACAAAACCACCACTCTGTGATTGTTCAGCTTGCAATCAGGCAAAGTCACTCAAACAGGCTCTGATCTGAAAGTACATTCTTCAGCATTTCAAAAAGCAATACTGTAAAAGCTGATGCTTACCAACTGACTAACACTGCTTTATGAAACATTTTATGAAAACTACCATTTCCTAAAGTATGGAGTAAAAAGTTAAATCATGTTCATATTGACCAGATTATGGTATCAATAAATGAATTTCAACAACCCTAAGATAATTCTGCAATTGTAACCCACTTCTAATTGACACAAGTTCTGTGATTAATTTCACTTGCATAGCTGCCTGAGGCTCAGCACTCTTCCAACGATTCTAGTTTTGTTCTCTAACCAGCTGGTCTACTCATTTCCCAAACACATCAATGCTCACACAGGAAAATACTTGAAATTATACAATGTGTTATCACATTTCAGATGACTGAAGAGCACTAACTTGCTTTCAGGTCACAAACCAGAGCCACTCTGCAGCCAGTGTCCCATTGATGTCAATGTGATTATCATACTGTTGATCATCTGATGGGAGAGCTGGTTGAGAACTTCCTGCTCTGACTGTATGTCATGGCATTTTTAAGCACAACTGAACCAGTGAATCAGACAAATGGGATCATAGGTTAATGTTTCAATCTGGGACACACCCCATCATGAACAGTGTTTTTTAATTATGCAAAATATAATTGAGGTCTGTGTACATGAGTTTCCACACAAAGTAATCCTGAGCAATTCAAGAATTAATGTACAGTCATGAGCAGTTCATTAACCAAATAGTTCCAAATTTATAAATTAAAAACAAAAATCAGCTATACCTGGACTTGTTCACACCTGGATTTGATGGTTAGCATGAGAGAGTTATCCAAGATTCATCAAATGCAACTTCTCATGAGACAAATTGGTCACAGACATCTCCTGCATATTTTCTTTAGACAGTGAAGTTTTCATTTAATTGTCTGGTTCTAAGATCATTATCGAGGTTGCTCCTCTGCCTCAAGGCCCTACTTCTTGTACTAATTTGTAGTAGCTGTGGTCCTGAGTATTTCTTGCACTTCTTCTGGGGTCAATAAAGCCAGAATCTTCACCACTTTCTGACGTGATCTGCAACCCTTCAAAAGATTAGGAGAATGGGAATTGTTTTGTGCAGAAGGAAATGCAAGAATCCACAGTCAACACAGAACTTTAAACTGCTTAACCATGTAGCACAGGCAAATAAAACAAGAAATTGCAAGTGTCAAGCTCAACAGTCAAAGATTAAGAAAAGTTAATCAACCTAAGGTCAAATTTGGCCATTCTCACCCACCTCCTTGCAATCAAGTGGAGACTATGAATCTATATGAAGGCTGGAAATATACAATGTGTCCATCTGGACAGATGGGTGAACACTCTCAGCAATCACTGGTCATCAGGCAGAAGATCACTAGGTGAACAGCTGTATGTCAATGCCAAAACATGCCACCATATAAGGACATTGACACCAGCCATTATGCTTTCATAAGTGGATGATTTGGGAAGCATTTCCTGAAAGGATGGTGGAAACTCATTTAATTAGAGCATTCAAAAAGGAACTGCATAAGTACTTGAAAGGAGAAAATCACAGGGCTATGGGGAAAGAACAGGGGATTGAGACTAATTGGGTAGGTTTTCCAAAGAACTGGCAACAGGCATGATGGGCTAGTTGCCTCCTTCTGTCTTGCATCAGTTAATAATGCCAAGTGCCCAAAAATCAGCCTCAGATTACAAGAAATTCAGACATCGAGAAGAACTCAGTGATTTTGGTTGGAAAAGGAACAAAATTTCTTTAGTTGCTGACATCACATATTCTTCTCTCCCCTCAGATTTATCTTATTCTTTCTTCACTGAAAAGGCTAGAATTTGTTACCATGGTGTTGAGTGGCTTTCTTGATTATTTGAGACGGTAATTAAGAGTCAACCACATTGCAGTGGGTCACTTCTGGGTCAGACTGGGTAAGGACAGAAGATTTCATTCCCTAAAGGACATTAGTGAGCCTGATGGGTTTTTACAACAATGATAGTTTCATGGTCACCATCATTGATACTAACATTCACATTCCAGATTTATTGATTGAATTTAAATCCCACTAACTGCCATGGTGGGATTTGAATCCTTATCCCCAGAGGTTAAAATTGGGTCTGTGGTTTACTTGTCCAGTGAAATTATCACTAGGACAGAAATTGTTGAAAATTGATGGCAGCTTCTTCAACAATCTGTTTTTACTGGCAGTAATGACCTGGAACTAGTGCATCCACCCAGTTTCCTGTTCAGAGACAGTTTGTGCAGTGGGAAACCACAAGAAATGGGGATAAAAAAAAAGTGTGTCTGGTGATAAATTTTTTGAAAGTAAGGATCATGCAATGACTATTATAGTGTATCCAATTGAATTTACTTTGTGAGAGACAGCACAATGGACTACACAGCACAGCCCCATGAAATTCTGCACATCATTCACCACAGAGAACCCCACAATCACACACTCCAAGAAAGAGAAGTAAATGGAGGTGGTACTTTACAATAAGACGAGAGGGTTAGATGCTGGTTAAATCATCACAGGAAACCTTTGTTGTAATTAGACAAAGGGTATCAGGACAAGAGTGAGTGTGGATTTGAGCCATAACCTTCCGAATAGTGGAACATGCTGGAGGGGTCAAAAAAGCCTACTCCTGCTCCTAGTTCCTACATTCACATGTATGTATGTATGTAGTGAGCCCCCTCAGAAAATCCAAGGCACAACCTGTTTCTAAGCTAACAACATACCTTGTCCAGGACAACTTCACTTTTCTTTAATGCCAGCACTTTGGCCAGATAGCACACACTAGTTCCGCATTGGCCTCACCATCAGATGGAGAGGATGCAATGGCCACACCCACAGCTTCTCCCGACACATCTATAGACCACAACGTTCATAAAAATCACCATTACTGGTATTATTTGTCAACAAACAAGTATCAGGGAAATGCTGCAGAGCTATAAAATTAATATTTTCTGACAAGGTCACAAACCACAACAATGTAACTCAAACACGCAAGTTTATGTTACAGAATACAAAATGTAAAGGGCAGAGTCCAGCAGCAATTCCAGCTAACCCTTGCCTTGTGTGATCCAAGTGAGTAGGTTGGCTTTTAGTGATTAGTGTGTCATCTCTTAGCAATATAAAAATAGGGAGCGCACTTAAGGAATTCCTCTGATACCATCATGGGTAGGGTGTATCAGCAAATGTTACAAGATTTTTTTCTACAGTAGTAGGATTCTGTAAATTCTGTTTTAATATTACAAGTAATCCAATGGCTATTCCCACTAGGAGGCTTACTTCTGCTCAGTTTCTATGCAGTTGCGATACAGCTGTTTAATGCAAAATATTGAAGATATTTTATTCCATACTGCTTACCAGTTATGGCATTTTGTTTGGCTCCAGGTTTAGCATGAATGACAACCAAAACAGAACCACTTTTATCAAGCTTCACAGGTCCCTGGGCTACTTTTGCAGAATTCTTCACAGTCATCTTATTCTGAGATGAAATTAAGACAAGTGTTACACAGTGTGCTTCCATCTGGTGGTGGAATCAGTTATGAGAAGGTCCAAACATTTTGAGATAAATGAGGTGAGACTTCAAAATTATTGCACATTCTAACTTCAATTACATATATTACTGCTACAAAGATTTCAAAATGTAAGTGTCTAAACCAAGTCATCATACCAAGTCTTGTTCGTGGAAGGCATGAGGATTAAATATGTCTAAAATTGTGATAAACAGATTGTTTTAAATATTGAGCCTTCAACTTCCAGTTTATGTAGAAAGTACTTTCCTTTCAATTCTCTTTCATTCCATGTTAAGAGATTTCCTGACCCCTGCTCATTCACCAGTTTCTGATTTAGGCGCTACACACGTAACTCAAGCTGTTCCGGGTGAAAGCTGATCATACTTGGGTGATTTGACTACTATATAGGCACATGTTTTCTGAAGCAACACTCCCAGGTTGTGAGCATCATCACTTCTCACTGCAAACAGAAAGCTCATAAACTTGTGCCACTAGAAAGTAACTAAAGGTAAATCCCCTTTACATGGGATACTTACTAGTTTCAGGAATGACATTGCAGAATTTATTCATTCCATTAAACAGTCAAACTCTAGTTTTGTATTACTAGTTAAGCTTCAGTGACCAACAACTGAAAATCAAGACCAAACGAAGGTGAATCACTGGGTTATGGATAATTGGACTAGGGCATACTTAAAATGGTAAGTTGTTTAGTACAGTTCCTATAACACTGTGAAACATTCCAAGGTACTGCACAGGGACAATGATTGGATAAAACTGACACAGAGCTAGACAAGGTGAAATTAAGACAGCAGAGCAAGGGCTTAGTCAGAGTTAGGTTTTAAAGGAACCCCCTGAAGAAGAGGTAGAGGTAAAAATATGGAGTGGTTTAGGAAGGAAATTCCAGAGCCTAGGGTCTAGGCATGGCCACCAGTGGTGCAGCAATGGCAATGTGGGGACACTCAAGACCAGGATTAGCAGGTTGCAACAATCTAAGAGGGTTGATGGCTACAGAGATGAGGTAGGGATGAGGCCTTGCAATGATTTGAATCCAAGGATGAAATTTTGAAATTTGAGATGTTGCTGAATGGGGAGCCAATGTAGGTCAGTGAGAAAAGGGTGGAAAGGATGGGTACTTAGTCCAAGACGTGTAATTTCAACTGGGCTAACAGACATATTGTCCTTAATGCTAATTGTCTATGACAAATTCCTGAGGCTGCACAGTTCAGAATCTGGGCACACAAGGTATGTGATTCAAGGGAAACAATGGCCTAATGTTAACCATGAAGATACAGTGATACAAATCATTTGGCCAGCAAGTATTGACACTAACAATATCCTTGACACTACTGCAAATCTTAAGTAACAGATGAAATGACAATATCACCAATCCAGCTCCAAGCTGCAGAGAACTTCACTGCCCCTAGGTGTCAAGGTATGGTGCTCTGTCCAAGGACATCTGGTGTAGATACTGCCACAGGGTGCAAAAATGATGGTGATTGCAACACAAAAAGGTGTTGACTTTAATATCACAATAAGCAAGACAATCATTCACAGGAAGTTAATTTGTACAGCAGCAGATTATCCACTCAACAGTAAAACATTCAGATTATGTTATTACAGTAATACAGTATTACAGTATTATTACAACACTCAGCTCCACAATTCCCCTAGTTTGGTCACTTGGCTTGGTGCGATACCAAAACGCAGACCGCTGCTCAACAATCTGTGTAGAGGTATTTCCCAATGTTGACGAGCGATGTGAAAACCCAGAGAGGGCTCACAAGTCTCTCAAAACAGACTCTAATCGCAGATGATTAGTATTTTGGCCAAACGGTCTATTTCTGAGATTCCTGAGACCAATAAGTTCACAAACTGGAGATGTAAACAGTCACACTGCAGCACCACCACAGCTGAGTGGGTGTAATGGCAGCGTGACATGTTGACATCAAATTTAAACGGCAACAACGGTTAACCTGACTACAGCAGATTGTTATTCATCATCGATTCCCTGACAAAACTATCTTCAAACTCGGAGCACATGGCCCCCTCCCTTTACCATTCGCGTTTCGCTTGAGGTTTTCGGCATCGTTCTTTGCCTAACGCCACCTGACTCCACTCTTAGCCCCAGGCCCAGGCGGGAGGAAGCCAGCAGCGGCCAGGCAACAGGAAGGAGTCGCTGAAAACCTGGCCCCACACCTACACCGGGAACCATCAGGGTGATCAAGACGCAGCGAAGCCAAGTCCTCCTCATAAGGACCAAGCCGCCCGGGAAGAGCCCACAACCGAGGCTGGACTGAACGATCCTGCGGCTCGGCCGCCAGGCAACAGGACCAGGCCCAAACTGCCGGCATGCACAGACCATCTGCGCATGCGCGGTGCCACTTGGGAGCAATATTGACCACATTGCAGGGCATGGGATTTAATGTTTCCAATAACCCTTAACAACTCATCCACTGCACTAAACTATTTGTTAATAATTAAAACAACAAACCGTAGGTGCTTGGTATCTGAAACAAAAACAGAAATTGCTAAAGCAACTCATAGGTCTGGCAGCATCTGTGGTTAGAAATAAGTGTTAACATTTCCAGTCCAGTGACCCCTCCTCAGAATTGATAACATCTGGGAAAACGTGGTATTTATCTTGATGACAAAGGGTGGCAGCAGAGGAGAAAGGAGTCAGGTACTGGGTGGGTACTGAGCTCACACAGAGACTGTTGATATTAAGCCAGAGGAGAAAAGCTAGATAGGTGATACTGGGGACTATGAGTGGATGAAAATGAGTTGCCTAATCCTTGTCTTTTATGAAACAAAGAACTGCAGATCTGGAACAAAAACAGGGATTGCTGGACAGATTCAGCAGGTCTGGCAGCATTTGTGGTAAGCAAGCAGAGTTAATGTTCTAATCTAGAAGAGTCTTTTCGTGATTCTGTTAAAAAAAACTATTATCATCTTGAGCGTCTAATTCTTGGTCATGGTTCACAAACTCTTGAAACATTAACTCTTTCTGTGTGTTGCTTCCCTCCACAGACACTGCTGGACTTGTGTATTGCCAACAATCTTTTTTAAATGTTAAATATTCACATTGTGGCTCTTACGATGGAGAGCCAAGAGGCCTGGATTCAAGTTTTTACCTGCTCCACATCTGAACAAGTTGCTTAGGAAAAAACTAAATATTCATGTTGTGTGGGGATTCAAAGTCAAGGTGCTATCAAAGATTTCCTTTTTCAAAACAGAATAACTTTGATAACACAAGTTATCAAAGAAGGGTCCCAACCCAAAATGTCAGCTTTCCTGTTCCTCTGATGCTGTCTGGCCTGCTGTGTTCCTCCAGCTCCACACTGTGTTATCCCTGAATCCAGCATAGACAGTTCTTACTATCTCTGAGATGAATAACTTTGATTTGATTGTTATTACTGAGTCAGACTCATCAAAATTACATGAGATTATCCAATAAATTAATGCCCCTAATACAGATTTCAATGTTTTTTGTTAGTTATTTGCTGATAGAAATAAGTTTAATTGTTCCTGTGTACACACACAAACCACACACACATACTTCAGTTCTGAGGAAGGGTCACTGAATCCAAAATGGTAACTATGATTTCTCTCCACAGATACTGCAGACCTGTTAAGCTTTTGCAGCAATTTCTGTTTTGTTTTTAGTCATTTTGTGCAATTGGTCACAATTTATCAAAGAACATTCATAAATCCTATTTGGAGTAGATTGGTTCCATTATTCAATAGTTAATGACCATATTTAAGATCAGTTAAACAGATTACTGATTTTTTTAAGTTCATTCATGGAATGTGGTATTGGTGTTGCTGGATGGGGGATTAAGACCATAAATTATTTATGAGTAATTATTTATTTTCATCCCTAGTTATACTTGAGAAAGCAGTGGTAAGCTGCCTTCTTGATGTGAAGTCTGAATGGTTCAAAGGCACCACATCGCTGTTAGGAAGGGATCTGCAAAGGAATTTAGACAGGTTCCTGCTGTTATTTCTTAAGATCAACATACATTTAGCTTTTGTACATTCAAGATTGACTCAGAGCCATATAGCATGGAGACAGACACTTCGGTCCAACAGTCCATGCCAAACATAATCCCAAACTAAACTAGTCCCACCTGCCTGCTACTGGCCCATATCCCTCCAAACCTTTCCTTTTCATGGTACTTATCCAAATGTCTGTTAAACATTGTAATTGTACCCACATCCACTACTCTCCCAGGAAGTTCATTCCACATGCAAAACACTGTCTATGTCTTTTTTAAATCTCTCTTCTCTCACGTTAAAAATGTGCCCCTAGTCTTGAAATCCCCCATCCTAGGGAAAAGACAACTACCTTTAACTTTATCTATACCTCTCAATATTTTATAAACTTCGATAAGGTCGCCTCTCAACCTCCTACACTCCAATGAAAAAAAAGTCTCAGCCGATCCAGCCTTTCTTTCTAACTCAAACCTTCCATACCCAGCAACATCCTGGAAAATCCCTTCTGAACCCTTTCCAGCTTGATAATATCCTTCCTATAACTCAGTGACCTGAACTGGACACAGTATTCCAGAAGAGGCCGCACATGATTTGTACAACCTCAACATGATTTGTCAACTCCTATACTCAAAGGACTGAGCAATGAAGGCAAGCATCATGTCTATACATGATGCAAACTTCAAAGAATCATATACCTGCACCCCTAGGTTCCTCTGTTCTACTACACTACCCAAGGCCCTACCACTAATTGTACAAGCCCTACTCTTGTTTGTTGTACCAAAATGCAATACCCTGCATTTATCCAGATTGAACTCCATCTGCCATTTTTCAGCCCATAGACCCATTTGATCAAAATTTCTCTGTAATCTTAGAAAACCTTCTTCACTGTCTACTTTGCCACCAATTTTGAGGTCATCCGCAAATTTACTAACCATGCCTCTATATTCTCATTCAAATCATTTATATAAATGACAAACAAAAGAGGACCTAGAACCAATCCCTGTGGAACACTGCTGGTCACAGGCCTCCAGTTCGAAAAGCAACCCTCCACCATAACTTTCTGTCTCCTGCCATCAAGCCAATTATGTATTCAGTTGGCAAACTCACCCTGAATCCCATGTGACCTAACTTTACTAATTAGTTTATTATGCTGAACTTTATCAAAACTTTACTAAAATCCAAATAAACAACATCCATTGCCCTGCCATCATCAAGCTTTATCGTAATTTCCCCAAAAAACTCAATCAAGTTTGTGAGACACGATTTTGCTCACAAAAAACCATGCTGACTATCCCTGATCAATTTTTGCCTCTCTAAATGTCTATAAATCTATCTTTTATGATCACCTTCAACAATTTACCCACAACCAAAGTCAGACTCACAGGTCTATAGTTCCCCGGTTTCTCCTTACAACCTTTCTTATACAAAGGTACAACATTTGCCACCCTCCAGTCATCGGGCATCTCACCTACATTTATAGATGATGCAAATATTTCTGCAAGGGGTCTCATATGTTCCTCCTTTACTTCCCAGAACATTCTGGGATACATTAGATCAGGTCCCCGAGATTTATTCACATTTATATTCTATAAGACCTCCCGAACTTCCTCTTCTGTAATGTGAACTGTTTTTAAAACATCAAAGTTTATTTCTCTGCATTCTCTAGACTCCATTTCTTTCCCTACAGAAAAAACTGGTGCAAAATATTCATCTTGTATCTCACCCCTTTCCTGGGGTTCAACACAAAGATGACCTCCTTGATCTTTAAGAGGCTCTACCCTCTCTCTAGTTACCCTCTTGCTCTTAATGTATTTGTAGAATCTCTTTGGATTATCCTTAACCACATTATCCTCAACCTTACCTATGAATGCTATCTCATACCCCCTCTTTGCCTTCCTGATTTCCTCTCTTAGGAATGCCCCTACACTCTTTATATTGATGAAGAGATTCAATTGAACTAAGTTGTCTATATCTAACATAAGATTCTCTTTTATTCTTGACTAGAACCTCAATATCTTTATTCATCCCTTGTTCCTTAATCTTACCAACCTTACCCTTCACTCTGAACTCGTCATCACACTCTTGAATGCCTTCCTTTTGTCAGATGACCTTTTACCTGTGAACAATATACTCCAATGAACTTTTGAAAGTTTTTGTCTCATACATTAAAATTTGCCTTAGTCCAATTAAAAAACTTTAACTTTTATGGAAGCTTTATCTTTTTCTGTAACTATTTTGAAACTAATACAATTATGTTTGCTAGACCCAAACTGTTTCCCCATTTTTACTTCAGTCATCTGCCCTGTCTTACTGCCCAAAAGAAGGTCTATTTTTGATCCTTCTCTAGTAGGACCATCCACGTATTGATAAAGAAAATTTTCTTGAACACATGTGACAATGCTTCACCAACCAAATCTTTAACACTATGGTAGCCTCAATCAATGTTTGGAAAATTAAAATCCCCCATTATTACAACCTTATTATGCTCTTATATATGTGAGATTTCCTGACATATTTGTTTCTCAATTTCCCTTTTACTACTGGGGGGCCTATAGTACAAACCCATCAAAGTGATCTTCCCTTTCTTATTTGTGATTTCTACCTGTATATTTTCACCAGATGATTTTTCAGAAATATCTTCCCTAGTTACAGCAGTAAAGTATTCCTTAATTAAAAATGCCAACTCCCTCCTTTCTTGCCTCCTTTTCTAGCATTCCTATAGCATCTAAAACTGGGAACACTGACCTGCCAGTTTTGTCCATCTCTCAGCCAAGTTTCTGTAATAACTATGACACCCCAATTCCATGGTCTTAAACAAACCCTGAGTTCACCAGCCTTACTTGTAAGACCCCTTGCATTGAAATAAATGCAATTTAGTTCTTCAGAGTTACTACATACTCTGACTCTCTCATCTTTCTTTTCTAATTGACGTGCTCTCCTCACATGCAAAACATTCTCCATCAATCTTTCTGTTTACACTGCTACTTAGAATTCCTCCACTCCTCCTCTCTATCAGTATAGTCTCCCCTAATGGAATGAGCAAATCTCCCTTCTAAGATATCGGTCCCTTTCCAGTTTAGGTTAGATCCATCCTTTTTGAACAGGTCTTTTCTATCCCAAGAGACATCCCAATTGTCCAAAAACCTGAATCCCTGAACAATACACCAGCTCTTCAGCCGCTGATTTATCTCATTTAACCTTTTGTTCCTTCCCTCGTTTGAATGTGGCATTGGGAATAGACCAGAAATTACTACTTTC